TAAAAAGCCTTTTGGTAACCAAAGAACAAAAGGTTATTCTTCCAAGGCCCAGGTGTCCCACATGAAGCCTTTCCCGATTATTCCAGCTTCCACTGCCTTCTAGCCCTTCTCCTGCGTCAATTACAGTCTGTCATGGGTTTAGTACTGGTCACAGGGCAGTGCTCCACATTTTATAAGCATGTATTTTTCATATCCCTTATCAAGCACTTTCACAGCATTTCCTTTGTGGGAGGACTATTATAAGTGCTTGATAAACATTAACTCACGTTTATCTTTGTCTCTTCCATAACCCCAAAATTCCAAAAGGAAGAGACTACATCTTAGGTTTTTTTTTTTTTTTTTTTTTTTTTTGAGGTGAAGTCTCGCTTTGTTGCCTAGACTGGAGTGCAGTGGTGTGATCTCGGCTCACTGCAGCCTCCGCCTCCAGAGCTCAAGTGATTCTCCCACCTCAATCTCCAGAGTAGCTGGGATCACAGGCGCCCGCCACCATGTCCAGCTAATTTTTTTTGTATTTTTAGTAGGGATAGGGTTTCCCCATGTTGGCCAGACAAGTCTTGAACTCCTGACCTCAAGTGATCCACCCACCTTGGCCTCCCAAAGTGCTGGGATTACAGGCGTGAGCCACTGTGCCCGGGCCCATCTTAGGCATTTTCTTTTCTTTTTTTGAGATGGAGTCTCACTCTGTCGCGCAGGCTGGAGTGCAGTGGTATGATTTCAGCTCACTGCAACCTCCACCTCTCGGGTTCAAACAATTCTCCTGCCTCAGCCTCCTGAGTAGCTGGGACTACAAGTGCGGCGCATCACCATGCCTGCATGCCCGGCAATTTTTTTTTTTTTTTTTTTTGGAGACAGAGTCTCTCTCTGTCGCCCAGGCTGGAGTGCAGTGGTGTGATTCTTAACTCACTGCAACCTCTGCCTCCCGGGTTCAAGCTCAGTCTCCCAAGTAGCCTCTCCTGCCTCAGTCTCCCAAGTAGCTGGGACTGCAGGTGCCCGCCACCATGCCTGGCTAATTTTTGTATTTTTAGTAGAGATGCGGTTTTGCCATATTGGCCAGGCTGGTCTCGAACTCCTGACCTTGTGATCTGACCACCTTGGCCTCCCAAAGTGCTGGGATTACAGGTGTGAGCCACTGCACCTGGCCAAATTTTTGTATTTTAGTAGTGATGGGGTTTCACCACGTTGCCCAGGCTGGTCTCAAACTCCTGAGCTGAGGCAATCCACCCACCTTGGCCTCCCAAAGTGCTGGGATTACATGCACGAGCCACTGCGCCCAGTCATCTTAGCCATTTTCTAGTTCTTCCCAGCAGCTCAGCACAGTGTTGGACTAACAATGGCCATTAAAAAATCTATAAACTAATAGCAATAGAAGATGTGTAGTAAATAACGAAAACTCCAACAGGATAAGCCTGAATAAAAATTACATGTTTGTAAATATTAGACAGGCCTTATAGTTTTTTCACAGTTTCTTGTTCCTACAGGCTTTTGAGAAGCTACTTCAAGCCAGGTACTTTACCATGTAATGATGGTATAGAAATGGTTCATGTAGTTCAAACTCAACAAAAAAAGACACACGTGCAAGACTACAATTTAGTACAATATAGTCAGTAAAAACACACACGGTGCCTCCTCTTTTTGTAACAGTGGTTGCTTGAGGAGCCTGAATGGAGAGTGGCTACTGCATACCTGAAAGTCCAATCTGATGCCCTAAGATGGTTGAGTACAGATGGGTGACGTTGCGGGAATACCCTCCGAAGGGTTTCAGTGGGTCCAGGGTTAGGGTGATTGCGACTGAGATATTCACAGGGCCCGAGTCCTCCAGGGCCTGGGGGGACTGGGTGGAAGCTCGGGCCTGCCCGCTGGTCATTGTGCTTTCCGGAGTTGTGGTGTCGTTTGTGAGATGCTTTAGCGTTTCATTCTCTGATACACACAGGTCCAAATCATTGAACCGTAGCAGAAAAGTATTCCAATCCTTTGGGGAAGTGAAAGAAAAAGAAATGAGTGTGAACAGCGCCTGCATCCCGCTGCGGGAACACAGGTAAGACCCTGGTGTGGCACTGCAGCACATCAGCAAACTACAATTCAGAGCTGGTCATTTAAGATCATGACAACACGGCCACCAACCTCCTCACAGGCAGCACAACGTGGCTTTCCTCATCACTTTTATATTTATAACCTAAAGTATGAACTCTTCACTGGCACAAGATACTCAATAAACTGTGAAATCAAATCAATTTATTCAAGAAAATCTTCTTTTAAAAAAATCCAGCATATTACACATAGAGAAAATGATCTAGCCTCAGAACCAAACTGGAAAAGAAAGCTTGAATGAAAGCATTAATGCAAACTCATTTTGCAATTACAATTCTTTTTTTTTTTAAATAAAGTCACCTTAAAATAACGTCCCAAAAGATCAGTTCCATATATCTTGCTCTCTTTCTCCAGAACACGAAACAGCAGTGAATACTAATACTCATTTGGGACACTGCCCCACTTCTTATGGACTTTTGATGACACCTTAGAGCAGCAACAATTTCAAAAAGGAAGGGGCCAGGTGCAGTGGCTTGCACCTGTAATTCCAGCACTTTGGGAGGCCAAGGCAGGTGCATCATTTGAGGTCAGGAGTTCAAGACCAGCCTGAGCAACATGGTGAAACCACGTTTCTACTAAAAATACAATAATCAGCCAGGTGTGGTGGTGTGTGCCTGTAGTCCCAGCTACTTGGAAGGCTGAGGCACGAAAATCATTTGAAGTGGGGCAGAGGCCCCAGCAAGCCAAGATCGTGCCACTGAACTCCAGCCTCAGCCTGGGTGTCAGAGTGACATTCCATCTCAAATAAACAAAAAAAAAGTCATCTGAGCAACCCCTAACCAGCCCAGTAAGTCTACCCTTACAGCATCAGTTTAACTGTATGTGACATTTAGTAAGACTGCAACTGGATCTATTAAATTACATTTCCCTAACACCTACAAACTCAACTGACCATTCTAGTATATTAGGGCTGAAAATGAACATTCTAGTCTCAGTCCTTCATAGTCCTAGACATGAAGAAACTGAGGCCCAGGGCAAATTAGGGACTCTCCAATTCTAGTTCAAGGTAGAATCGGCATTAAGTTCTGATTCACAGCCCCAGATGTTTCCCATACACCACTGCCTTTCCTACAACTTAGGATCCTCATTTGAAATAAAAATCACGAAACTAATCATAACCAAAGTTCTGCAGCATTTCAACAATGCGTTCCTACAGAGCTGGAGTCCACATTGAACAGCCAGCTAAAGCCAATGCCAGGCCTAATTTGGATTATTAAGGGCTAATTATCCAGGCTTCATTGTAACCACTGGCCTTGGCCAAGTGCTCAACATGGACTCAAGATCTGCAGGAAAGAAATGGCAGGAGGCTGCAGAGCTTTAGTTTTGAGTAGAATATTCATTTTCAGCCCTGATGTGGGGGCAGCCTGTTTTCACAGCCTTTAAAGATTGAGGCAGGGTCAGCAAAGAGGGAGAATTAAGCCAGCCAGTATGTCTCTTAGTAACAAACTCTTTGAAAGGGTTACAAGGTAGAAATAGCTAAAACTTGTTACTTGAACTGTGCTAGAAAGAGTTCACATGTGTAGGGGTTCGTTTTGCCAAGATCACTTAAGATCTAGAATGCCCTAGAGCTCAAGAGAAAGCTATGATCTCAATTACATGGAACAGAACTCTCCTCTCCATTGCAAGGCACACTCAATGTGGCAACCACACACTCCCAGCCCCACCCCCACCCCCAGTCTCTTATGAATAGCATTGTGCATTGGGGAGGTACATTGATACCACTGATGGGCAAACATTGATTTATTATTAACTA